AGGAGCTGTTGCCCCAAAGAAACCCTAGCTAAACACGGTTCAAAATGGTTCTGTTATGATTCGTGCTGTCTGTTAAAGAGAGAATTTTTTTTTTAGGTGTTGGGCGGACTCAGTCCGGTTCTACTCATCTGGTTGGAATAGGGGTTGTTGTGGGGGAAGCTTATAACACACACACACACACACACACATCCCCTGGATTTCAGGTAGCAGTGGAATTGGGTGGTGGTCCTGGTGATTGAAGGATAAGGGTTTTTGCAAGTGTGGGATGTTTAATGCAGTCGGCTAGATGCTGTAGCGGACACAATAATTGCGCTGTTCCGATCATCTGGAGGGGTGGTTGTCCACTGCCTGGTGTCGATATCTGCTGGATGCTCAGGGTCCAGATCGGCCAGAGGAGCAGGCTTTTGCTACAATTCACATACCTTGTTGTATTCTGCACAATCATGTGCTGATATATGTAGCTGCATATTGACAACAATTGCTACAACGATAACCTGTGCACATGCCAGCAGACTCGCATCAATCCCCAGTCAACCATACTCCCAACGGAGAAGCAGCAAGGGGTAGTTGAAGATGGCCAGATTGGAAACAGAGAATCAAACTCTCCTCTTTAACTTTCCTGCCAGCTTACGCTACGGCGATTGCCATGCCATTTGCGCAGCACTAAGAGGCGGCAAAAGTTGCTTCGCTTGGAGTCTCTGAGGCTCCTCTTCGATCAAACTATATGGCGAGCCTGCTGATTGACCAATGAAATTGGAACTTCCAACTCTAAGGCGTTTCCAGCATATAGCGAAGTGATCTTCGTCCTCGGCCACTTCACCAAACAACTCTTATTATCCCTACTACTGTCTTCACCTGAATAGAATGCACGATCATTATAGCTGTATTTAGGGCAGTTTTCAGCCTAGATACAGTGATAATGACCATGCGCTCCATCCGGATGAAGACGGTAGTATGACGAAGTACATAGACCAGACACCAGTCCCAAAAATCAACGACTTGGTGTCTGGAGTAGAATCCTGCGCAGAAACGCAAATCGCAATCGATAGCCTCTCCCTCCCACCTCACCCTTTCTGCCCCAGCAACCTACCATCTTCACCCGAATAGAATGCCCAGTCATTATAGCTTTACTTGGGGGAAATCTCAGTCTTGATACCGCTATAATGACCAGGCAGGTGAAGATGGTAGTATATGTCCATTGAAAGTCGAAGCAGTGAGTGCCATGACATATGCAAGCGACCCTCTGCAGAAAACAGAGCTCAAGCCACTAATCACCCACCATGCAGAGCTCCCTGTCAAGCAACGAAGATCAATCTTGCAAAACCCTGACGGAGCATGCACTCTACTCTATCGGCCTGCGATAGGGTCTGCAGGTCAAGCGTCATTCCCAGAAACAAGCGCCAATGGTGTTGGTCATTCAGCATAGCCAGAAGCTCAAGCGGAGGGAGCACAACTTCCCTGGTTTTAGTCACAGGCAGCTCCAGAGTTAATGGAGGGAAGAAAACAGTCAAGCAGTCTCTTCGCCTCTTCCTTTGGCAAGTGTGTCCAAATCGTTCAATAGTTACCGTCTTCAGACTCTTCACCCGAAAAGAACGCCCAGTCATTATAGCGGTATTTGGGGCAGCATTCGGTCTAAAGATAGTAGCCATAATTTTATTTATTTATTTATTTATTTATTTATTTATTTTTATTATTTTTATTTTTTTAACACACGCCCCCTGCAGTGCTAGTGGCGGTGATGAAGCAGACACTACTAGCACCCGGGGAGGGCCATAATGACTCGGCAATCCAGCATTCTATTTGGGTGACAATGGAAGGGCAGGGCCTGCTTATGCACGCATTGCGACTGATTTGACTTGACCTTTTCCCACAACGGAAAAACTCTTGGCTATGGTTCGTCACGTTTCTGGGATAGGTTTGGTAACTTTGGTGCACATTAGAATCATCAATTGGATGGGAATCTTGCTTCTGGCCTGCTCTGCAGGCCAGATTCATGCATGGAACTGGTAATACTGAAGGGGCCTCACAGTCCTGCCAACCTCTCAGACCTTTCGAATGTCACGCTTGCGTGGCAATACTAGAGGTGTCACTTTGTCTCCCTTGTCTGGCTGACTCTCCAATGGCTGCATGCTGCCAACTTGCTTTTCGTTGGATGGAGACCCTATTTCCTGGATGCCTGTAAGTTCTGTAACTTGCTATTTTCTGTAGCTTGCTGCTTCCTGTACCTCAGTTTTTTTTGCATTTTTTTTTGGTACACGTGGACCCGCAGCAGCTACGCTGCGGCGTAGGACGATGGCAAAAACATTTTGCGAAACACCCCAGCCATCAGTTGGACCCCATCTTTGCAATGTACCCCTAGCGGACACTGCCCAACTTTGCAAAATGGGCCGGCAGTCGCCAAGTTTTCGTAGTTGCAATTGCAAAAGGCCAAGCAAATTTGCACACGCACCTGACAAGGGCATAACAGAAACATGTCAGTCCAAAAGGCCATTCCAACTCTCTCTCTCTCTCTCTCTCTCTCTCTCTCTCTCTCTCTCTCTCTCTCTCTCTCTCTCTCTCTCT